GGGGGGGGGGTCCTACACCAAAGTAGATGACAGTTTTCACGAGAAATTTCGTATCAGAAGGCCATGAGGACGCGACATCGCGCGTCCGGTATACCTACCACGAGACACGTCATCAAGCAATGCCACCAAGAACTCAGGGAGGCAGCACCACCAGCAGGCGCTTCATGTCTTCATCGATTCATGTAGCCGAACTTGGGTTAGAATCTCGGTGATGAGTGCTATCATAGCACGGGCGGGCGGACGATCGTCGCTACGTTGGATTGGCCTCCACACACAGAAGACTCCCATTCAAACGGCTCACTCTGCGAGAGTCGATGCCGGCGACGCCATGTTCCATAAAGAACTTCAGGAAGGGCACGGGCTGGACGCCGCATCATGTCACGTCAGTCACATCACGTCATAGCACAGAACAGCGCAGCACACGCCCGCGTCGTCGTGTGGAATCAGCCAAGAACAACGAGCACCAGGCCGTAAGCATCACGACCAGGGTAGTCGTAAGCATAACGACCAGTTTAGCATTACACAGCACGCGCGAAGGGAAGATAAGAGGGCAAGAATAACGCCGAGAAACAGGCGAGGGGAGAGAAAGGAACGGAAGCAGGAAAGGAAGGGGGGGGGGGGGGGGGGGGNGGGGGGGGGGGGGGGGGGGGGTGACGCAAGATTAGCGTACAGCGGTAAGGACACGGGGAAATGGAACGGGGGTACGAGTGAGTAATGGCATATTCAGTAAGGAGGGCGGACGTGTTTCGCCTCTTTGAAAGGCGGCACAGCAGGCGGTTGATTCGTGGAGGGGGGGTGGGAGGGGGGGGTTAGCACTCATCAATCGATTCCCTATCTTTGCAGACAGCAAGCAGTGCGCACAATACATGGAAGGAGGCGGAAGATTCGTGAAGATACCATTCCCAAACGCAAGCACGCGCGTATACAGCTAGTTTGGGCTACCCGTCGAGAGAGAAGACAAGGGCAGTCGAACCATCCACTCGGTCGTCCACTTTCATCCACTTGTGCAATATGTTGGGGCGGTCGTGTACTGCTTGTCACCACCGAAACAACTGTTTTTTCGTTTGCTTGGAAAGTCTAAGTTTCGGTAATTAGACGAGGCATGCTCAAAACAAACATCAGAACCATCGCCGGAGTCCACGACACCTTAAACAAGTGGCTATGGGCCAGCCGGTGTCAAAATTCTGGTCCATTGGGTGGGATCGTGTTCCAGAGCCAGTCCTATCGCAAGGGAGTTGGAGAGCTCTGTATACCGCATGCACACCAATAAAAGCCAGCTATGCTCGTGCTCCAGGAATGACTGCACGACTTGCGTCCTGTCGCCAAGAAAGGAGACGTCCTCTTGTACTCCGAACAAGTTCTGCACCAAGGACAGATTTTCATTAGTGCAGCAATGTCCGCTCCCCGCTTCCAAGTCCCATTAAAGTTTTCCACACATCGACTACTTCCTGACATGACCCGCACACCTGGAAGAGGAGGCGGGCATTCTCAAGGTTGCCGTTCAGGAGAAGCTCGTCTACCGCGAGGGCCGTGAGGGTCTTGATTGAGTCGTCCCCCGCGGCCTGTGCACGCGTCGAACGACGCAGAGACGAGAGATAGAGAGAGAGATCAGTGGGAGAGAGAGGGGGGGGGGGGTACTCATAGTCGTGCATGCCGGAGTCGTTAGACCATTGACCTCGCATCCCTACAAAGCCGGGACGGAGCACGCCGGGTNCCTTGCGGGGGGAGATATATAGATACAGAGGGAGAAGTAGGGGTATGGGGGGAGAGAGAGGGAGGGAGAGGGAGAGAGAACGAGGGAGAGATATATAGATACAGAGGGAGAAGTAGAGGTATGGGGGGAGAGAGAGGGAGGGAGAGGGAGAGAGAACGAGGGACAGGTAGAGAGACAGAGAGGAAGAGAGGCAGAGAGGCAGAGAGGCAGAGAGGCGGGGGAAGGGGTGTCCCGGAGATTATGTCAGGCGGTGGGGGCACTCGCCTGTCTCACTCTTCACTCTTCTATCTGGAGTACCACGTGCCACGGGGTCACACGTAACCGTTCTGTTCCCGCAAAGGGTGTATGTGGGTTTGTGCAAGGCATCAGGTGGTGTGTGCGCGTCTACACGAGCGGGGCTCCCACCGCCGCCTTCCCCGACGTGTGTTCACGACATACTGCGAAGCTTTGTCATTGCCAACGTAGGCCGCGGCACCACACATCAACATGATCTCTCCCACATTTCTATCATGCCAATACAGGACAGCAAACAGCTGACATAGCAACCAACACCCTGAAATAGGTGGGTGCATACAGCAGCACATAGGTCATGGGTTCGAGTCCCGGCACGGAGAGTTTTTTTCTCACTAAATAAATCCTGGTCTAGGATGAAAGCGACGCGCTGCAAAGCTCGTTTGTTAGTAAACCATAATCGACTTCGTAAGTCGCGAGGGAAGGGATTGCTGTACCCTTCTCGCGATAAAAATACCTCAGGCATGAACTGCAGGAGGGGGGTCCAACCCCCCCCTCCTATGTGACCCCGGTTGGGTCGTCTAGCCAGTAGAAGTGGAGGATAGGGGCCAGAGGGGCAGACGGCAGAGTCCAATGATGGGAGAGAAACAAACAAACAAAAACAAAACAATGTACCTCGGGGTGCTTAGTGATGAAGTTCCTCATCTTCTGGAGGAGCAGGTCCTGAACGGCGGCTTCGTCGTTGCCATGCTCCTCGAACTCCTCCTCCGTGATGCCGAACTCGTTGTGGTTCACCATCATGTTGATGCACTGCAACACCAACAACAAGAAAGACGAAAATTGCCGTGGTTGACTCATCATGTTGATGAACTGCAACACAAAAGAATTAAGAATGGAGTATCCGCCAATACAGATGTTTTTGTTCTTAGCTCCAATTCGCATTACTGATAACTCAGTGTTAGGCTTACACAAACTCAAAATAAGCCAAGTCTCCAGTTGGTTTCAATCCGCTTACTGAAAAGACTCCACCACATCCCTTTCCACTGAGGTTATATCTCGAACTAGTCTTTCTGTGAGGTTATGTTTACTTTCTAAAAAGGAAAAAAACATAAATATCTGGGGGGCTGCACTTGGACCACCAACAGCATACCCCCTGCAGTACCCAGATCGGAAATCGTACCCAAGTGCACCACCAACAAAACAAACCCACCCACGTTAGCGCAGTCGATGCCACCGTAACACATGGAGTGGAGTACGACAGGCACAGGACACATCGTACCAGATACAGCAGTACGCACCTCGAGGATGTGGGCGGTGGCACGAGGCCCTCCATGGCGACAGAGGGAAGGGTCGGCGGCCGAGGCGCTCTTGGTTCCCTTCTTCGGCGGCATTTTGGACGGCTACGGCTAACTGTTGTTTATCGGTCTTCATATATATCCCAAGAGTTGCAAATGTGAGGGTAAAACCACAAACAGGAAAAAGATAGGGTCGTGAAAAAAACGCGGCCAAGGCAGCGAGAGGGGGAACGATACGATTGAGACATACCAAAATACAGCAGTTACGGCGGGTTCGGTGGGGTGAGGTGCTTTCTGCGGTAGAGTGGTAATGCAATGACAAGTGCTCCCAGGGACGTAACTTTTTTTCTGCTCAAGTCTATAGAACCAACGAATCCATCTCTACCTAAGAAAAGAGTCTAAAGATATACTTGCAATGAATCCAAAGCGTCAGCGAAGACTACCTGCTTTTCCATTCTGACTTGAAAATAGGGCTAATCATCAAATACCGGTACGCAGTTTCAGAGAAAACTTCGGCACAGCAGTACCGTATATGACACAAGATAACACACCCCCTTGACCAATTTTCGAAGGTCGATTTACCAACTGCAGGAACAGTCACAGCGCCGAAAACGGCGGCGTTGAAAGTGTCTCGTCGAGAGCTTTTCGAAAATGTATCGTTTCGTTTATGTATCTTCTTCGTCGTGGAGTAATCGAGCTTTGAACATCGGTCTAGGGGGTGTATCATCTTGTGTCATATACGGTAGTCTATGCCTCGAGGAAATGTTTTGGCAGTTTAAATGCACACAGCCGAAAATTTGGGTACTCTGAGTCCATCACGAACTTCATGCTGGCCTGAAAACTTGCGGATTACATGATATGGTATGCGTGTTGCATCGCCTAGTATACCAATGGCATACAATGTGACATATGCATAGACTACTGCTGTGTGTACTGTGTGTGCATGCCCCCTGAAGGGATGGAAGGTTGTTGGACTGCTGTTTCGCGGAAAAAAAAAAAGTTGAAGATTTTTTAGGGCGCAGAGCGAGCGTACACGCGGGTGCATGTACACACAAACAATTCCCTGGAGGAGGGCTACATAGGTGCCAGATGGAGGGAGTGTGGACTTTCACTGTACCGGTGCGGATATCCAACAAGCGTGGATGTGTGTTACCTGGGAAACAGAAACAAATAGAGGGTGCCCAACACAAATCTAAAAAAAAAAAAAAAAAAAAAAAAAAAAAAAAAAAAAAAAAAAAAAAAAAAAAAAAAAAAAAAAAAAAAAAAAAAAAAAAAAAAAAAAAAAAAAAAAAAAAAAAAAAAAAAAAAAAAAAAAAAAAAAAAAAAAAAAAAAAAAAAAAAAAAAAAAAAAAAAAAAAAAAAAAAAAAAAAAAAAAAAAAAAAAAAAAAAAAAAAAAAAAAAAAAAAAAAAAAAAAAAAAAAAAAAAAAAAAAAAAAAAAAAAAAAAAAAAAAAAAAAAAAAAAAAAAAAAAAAAAAAAAAAAAAAAAAAAAAAAAAAAAAAAAAAAAAAAAAAAAAAAAAAAAAAAAAAAAAAAAAAAAAAAAAAAAAAAAAAAAAAAAAAAAAAAAAAAAAAAAAAAAAAAAAAAAAAAAAAAAAAAAAAAAAAAAAAAAAAAAAAAAAAAAAAAAAAAAAAAAAAAAAAAAAAAAAAAAAAAAAAAAAAAAAAAAAAAAAAAAAAAAAAAAAAAAAAAAAAAAAAAAAAAAAAAAAAAAAAAAAAAAAAAAAAAAAAAAAAAAAAAAAAAAAAAAAAAAAAAAAAAAAAAAAAAAAAAAAAAAAAAAAAAAAAAAAAAAAAAAAAAAAAAAAAAAAAAAAAAAAAAAAAAAAAAAAAAAAAAAAAAAAAAAATCTGTAGGCAGCGAGCTGACATGAGAAAAAAAGCGCCAAAAAAATAGAGTCAACATGCAAGCAAGCCGGGCACACAGAGTAGTCTAGCAAGACCATCGAATCCGCAAAAAACAAGATAGCGAGAACGATTGGGCGGGCGAAGCTGGATTACAAAACAGCCGTGAGCAAAATGGGAGAGTTACGCTGTACGCAAGTCCTCAGATTCCAAAGGAGGCTGCAGCCACATCCACAGGCCACATCCATCCCTTCGGTGGCCCTGCCCTCTCTATTCCACAGACTCGGGACATACTCTGTTTTGAATCAGGCTCTCCGGCACACACCGGTTCTGCAGCTGTACGGCAAGCTTTGCTCCGCGACGGCCGCACGTACCAAACACGGAGAACAGGCGACTCACACTGGCGACTCGGGGAAGGACCGGCTGCAGAGAGGGAGGCAGAGATGAATCCTAATCCTCCTTTCGCGCAAGATGTTGCCTCTGATTGTGCTGTGTGTGTTGCGGGCCGCGCGCGTGCCCCCCCCCACTTGTCGATGGGAGGGCCGGGGGTCCGTGGAAGGTGTAACGGCGAATGAATCAAAATGAATCGTTTTTGTCGGCGTTGTTCGTCCGTTATCGCTTCTCTCGGTGGTGTCGCACGGTGGTGTGCCGGGACCTTCATGCTATTGTCGCGCTGTTGGCTCCGAGATCTTCATGTTCTCGCGCAGTCAGTTTACTTCTTTGTCACAGACCGGTCAACCGGGCATAAATGCAGTACTGCGTGACAGATGTTCTGCGGCCATGTGAGGTGCAAATCCTCCAACTGTCTACCCACTATTATCACCATCAGTAGCAGAATATCTCCGAAGGTCTGGTCATTGTGAAATGATATTCGTTGAAATATGAAGGATCACCAACAGAACAGTGCATGTATTTTGTGCAGGTCCTGAATGTTTTGAAGATTTGCAAAGCGTGTACTACAGCTGCCGTGTTTCCCGCCTCCACCTAAAAAAACTGCTGTCAGTGTAACCAAGATGAAGGGGATGAAACATGCCCAGCCAGGCATTTTTCACACATTACCCTGTGGGGGAAAGAGAACAACAAGGATTAAAGAAGGGATTTCGACCACATATTGAAACAGAACCACAATTAGGTGCGTTTCCGCACGCTCCACAACAACAGTACAACCGAAACAAAACCACAAAGGAGAGAGCACCACACACCGGAATCCGGCGAGACTACAAAAACGACGGAGACAAAAGCAGCTTGCTGAGCAAGCACGCACGCGCGCACGGTAGGTAGCTCATGACCGCCGGGAAGAGCGGGCAAAAATGAAACCAAGCACACGGCAAAACAACCACAAGAATGAGCGAAACAAAAAACAACAAACCACAATACCGACAAGAGCTGCGGTAAATCTTTGAAACAAACCCGCTGGGTATGCGGTATGGTTTTGTGGCTAGGCATGCCTGACACAAATGGAAACAATCTTTCGAACCACGGCTACAAACCCGAGTGTACAGCAGGCATTACGCAGAAGAGACGACAGCGTTGCCACCAATCCTGACGCGGGTACGTACGTGTAACAATCACGGGTACTCTACACTCCGGTACAGCCGAACAGCACCATTCCGCAGCGGCGAACGTTGCCAGGGAACAAAAGAATACGGATCTACCCCGCTTCCGTCACACTGCCCCCCCCGCCCCCCTAATCACAAGGACCGCAACCCTACCCCCCCCCGACAGACAAAAACATGCCTCGCGGTCCAAATAATAGCTGGAACCACATAAGAAGCAACTATGGTTCGTTGAAGTCCCATTTGCACCCCGTGCAGGCGAGAATCGCTCCTCCGTTTGTTGCACCGTGTCATCATTGCATCTCGAGGTAGTTCGCGGGCACCCATCCTTCAACGCCGCCGTCCAATGACGCCATCCACCAGTCTGGGTTATCCCGGTTGGTTACCCCGACCACCTGTGTGTGCGATGCGGGGGGACACAAAAAATAAAAAAGGACCAACACAGACTGTTGGTGCATCGTGCGGAGACACAGCCGGTTGTTTTAGCCCGACCGTCTGTGAACGCCGTGCCAATCGACTTGTGGCGACGGTTTCGCTGCTCTCAAGCAAGCTTATTCAAGAGCGAGCGAGCGGCGACCACGGCGGTGGTAGCGGGTGACAGCGGGTGACAGCGGGTGACAGCGGGTGACAGGAAAACATACGAAGAGGCCACCCAGCGCATGAATCCTAGGTTCTACGCCCCGCTCAAAGCTCTCCTTCTGTCGTGCTTTGACGCACACACAGGGGAAGCGAAGGTCCGGCCGGGCTGCTAGGCAACTAACTCGACTCCCGCGTATCTTTTGCAGAGACAAAACAGAAAGAGATGAAGAGACTCACCCGTCAGGAATGGGGTCCTGCAGCTAATCTAACTTACTTCATACCCCGTGAGTCATATCTATATAGATCGACGTGCTTACATCAAAACACTTTGCGTAACAAGCGTTCCCGTGGGAAGGCAACACTTCCCGCCGCCGCCGCCGCCGCCGCAGCAGCAGCAGCAGCATCAGCAACAGCACCACCATCATTACCTGTGCACGCACCACCCCTTGGCCATCAACAACCACACCACCGCCGGCCACCACCCTAGGAAACCCACCAGTAACTACCGAATACAGAGGGACAACCTCCGAAACAAGAAACAAAAAATCAACGACGAATGAAACCAGCAGCCTTCGCGAGAATGTGAAGCTTGGTTCTTAGTAGGGGTTACGGGTTAGGGTAGCGGTTACGAAACCCCCATCTCTATTTCACATGTTATAACGCAGAACATCCTCGCTAAGGCGGTTACCCAACGAAAGAAACGCACCTGGCCTGCGGAAACGGCAACCATCCCCTCCTGCCCCGCCGGATCATAGTCGTACAAAACCCTGGCTTGCGGTTCGGAAGGCTTGGGCTTCGGCGGCAGCGGCGGCGCCGCCATCGACGGCATGGCCGGCATCGCGGGGTCCGCCCCGCCGCCGTTCGTTATCGCCGCCTGCTGCCCGTACCCCCCACCCCCGTACCCCCCGGCAGCTGCTGATGGCGTCGGCGCCGCGGGGGCGGAGTATCCCCCGTAACCTCCCGCCGCCGCTGTGCTGTTAGCAGCCGGCGGTGCCGAGTAGCCGCCGTAGCCGCCGTAGCCTCCGTTGGAACTCCCAGCGGTGGCGGGGGCGGGGGCGGCGGATGCCGAGGCAGCGGCGGCCGAGGCAGCGGCGGCGGCCCAGCCCGGGCGCGACGGCGGGGGCCGCGTCGGCTTGACGCTGACCACGTCTTCCTCAATGTTGTACCTGAGTGGTGCATGTATCCAAGAGGATGACGGTAAAGGAGTTGTTTACTGGGAACACGCGACAGCTAGGGCCTACGAACCCTGCTGTGTGCGTCGCAAGAAAATAAAAATCAATGCATCCATCCACGAGATTCATAAGACTCAAGAGAACAATAGGAGTCGGGGCAGTTGGACCACTTGGAAAAACGATTGTCCCCTCCAAGCCCCCGTGAAAGGTGGCATGTCACCGTCGAATGGGGCAGCAAGAACACAACACGCAGCACAATCGATGACACAGCCCCCAGAGTCTCCCCCCCGCACGTCTCCCCCTGGTTCTTCCTGCTAACCTGGCGCTGATCTCCCTTTCGAAGAAGCCGGACAGCAGCGGGGGGATTTCCTTCACGCTCGGGGCTGTTTCCTTAACACCGTCGTACACGGACATGTGCACGGCCTACCGGACGCGAACAAAAACATGCACACACGCACACGCGCGCGGGCGCCAGAGAGAGACAGGAAACGCGCAACGTGTGGAAGCGACGGGGGGGGTTGCATAAGAGTCCGTCAGTGTTTCTCTCTTTGTCGAGGTGGATTCGATGACGGGAGGATGGCGACGCGTTTGCACGCGAGCGGCAATGAGATGAGATGGACAAGGTTCGCAAAAGCTCACACGTACGCCAGAGGGACCACGGAAGGGCGACGATCCAAAAACAACAAACAACAACGAAAATTTCGATAATACCGTAGGTTGAAGGAGATACTAACACCCTTTTGTTAGGTAAGTTAACCTTTGACCACGGGATTCGCTCCAGTGTTTGATCAGCACGGACGGACGAAGGTACTGGGTAAAGAGTTCGGAACGGTGTTCAATGTGAAGACAACAACAACAACAACAACAACAACAACAACAGCAGCAGCAGCAATTAATAACGACAACGTCGAGCGTGTCCAAGGTTGCGTAAGATACCATACCCCCCTTGACCTATTGTCAAAGCTCGATAATTTCGCCGTGAAGAGGATGCCGAAACAAATTGACCGGTATATATGTTTTCAGTAAGCGCTACAAAGACAGTTCCAACGCCGCCATTATTAGCGTAGTCGTTGCTGTGTTTTTCTGCCCAACAGCCTTCGAGATTTGAAAACCGGATCACAGTTAAGCTAAGGCGGACAAAGCGGACTGCCAGGCGACGGGGGAGGGGGGGAGTTCGCCTGGCCCTTCGTGCCACACATCGTCCACTCCCGGTCAAAAATTCAAAAAAAAAAAATGCACGCCCACAGTTCTACACCCGGCCACGCTTCTCATCCGCTGTGTACGTATTGTAGCTCAACTGACTCCGCCGACAAAGGTGGGCTGCCAATGGGCTGCTGCCCGGAGCTTCGCAAAGCTTACGCCGGCGCGTTGAAGGCGCTGGTACAGCTGAGCCTACAGCTTAGCCTAAGCTTCCAACAAGGAGCAACCTAAAAAGGAACAAAGAGGTAGCCTACTAGCGTAACGTAGTGTTCAGGGGTGTTGCTGTACAGCATCAAAGGGTACATCTTGGCCTAGAGTAGGATGTGGGCTGGCCGGGAGGTATACCTCTGAGGGACCATACCACTAATCAGGACTCAGCTATCTGCGTGCCCCCTGGTTGAGAGGTGGATCACCCACCTCAACCAGACCTCTCTCTCTCTCTCTCGCTCATTTCAAGCAACATCCCATTTCTACACAATCGTGGAGGCAGGGCATCAAGTGACCGTACCTCTGCCTGTACCCTAGGACTCAGCTGCTACCAACAGCTTGGGCTCGTTCTATTTTATGCCTTCCAACAACAAGCAAAACCGACAAACAAACAGAGAGGTAGCCTAGCGTAGCCTAGGCTTCCAACAACAAACACAACCTACCAATGAACAAGAGAGAGAAAGCAATAAAAAAACATCGTGGATGATTCTCACCAGCTTGAACTTCTCGCGAGTGTCTTCTGGCGCGTTGCACCGCACGAAGTAGTGCACGTAGTTTTCCATGTCCTGGAAGGACCGGCCAGATTCGTAACGGCGACGATCGTGAGGGGGGGGGGGGGGGGCAGGGCTGATTTGTAGCTCATTGGACCGCGGCTCAAAACCAACACGGAGAAAAGACAGCGACGAGACGAAGGGCACAAGAAAGGGGATTGGACCAGGACATAGGAGGGGGTATGATACACGGGAGCCCTCGTGCACAACGTAGAGCTGAGGCGCGTACACGCGGAGAGAAATAACGCAAGGGGTGAGGAGAGTAACATGGATATGGAAAGGGGCAGCGGGAGGGGGAGAGCTAGATTACTAGGGGGAGGAACGAAAACACGCAGCAAGTCTGGAGTCAAGTCCGGAGGATTGCTTTGCTCAAAGAGGAAACGAAGCGGTTTCAGGTTCCAAGAGACTGTCTCTGGAAGCCACGGACAGGAAGGAAGAACACTCTAACTTTCAATGTAGAAAACTCTAATGAAGTAAATAGTAACGCTACAAGAGGAAACAAGCACAGACGAGAAGGAAGTATGCTTCTGTGAATTAAAATTAGAACCAGTTCGGCGAAGTACATGTCTTGAGTGATGAGTGATGAGTGACTGACCTTGGGTGGGGGGAAGCACGTGAGAAGCATCGTCACCACCTCCCAATACCGCTGCACGGAGGCTGGGTTGGCGTTCTTCGTCAGCTGCTTCATCGCCTGCACGTAAAGCTCCCCTCGTAGCTCTGTCATTTCCAACCCTGACAGAACGAGAAAGAGGCACAGAGGAAGGCAGACAGAGAGACAGAGAAAAGGAGACAGTGACAGAGACAGACAGAGGCAAGGGGTTGCACACAGAGGCAAGGGGCGGCAGGGGGTGATTACGCGTACGGGGTCAAAAACATGCCAACACAAAGTTTCATGTGCATATCGGTAGGGACGTACATGTGTCATGCGTAAACCAGGGCACATCCAAAGCAATGCCTCCTCGCGAACGTGCACGGGCGTGACAGGTTGTACCCTGCGGACGATGAACCTGCAGTTCTCAATCAACACTTGGCCCTCTGCTGCCAGCACGCGGCGTAACTCCAAGCACAAAATCCCGAATAGTCATCATTTGTGATATATTGGAACCTAAACAAAAAATGTGTTATTTGCCCCCCCACTCGCGTTCCCCCTCCCCGCCCCCCTCGCAATCTGAAAGTGCCTTCGGAGTTGATGGCATTCAACATCAACCCTGACATTTCAGCAGCAATGTTTCGGACGTTCCAGCAGGACGTGCCACACGTACTGCTGGAATGTCCGGGCTGATGTTGAACGCCATCAACTCCGAAGGTACTTTCAGATTGCGAGGGGGGCGGGGAGGGGGAAGGCGAGCGCGGGGGCAAAGAACACGGCACACGGCAGGAACGCGACGCACGGGAGAAGCCGCCCGCCTCCAAGCCTCTCGACACTGTAACAGATTATCATGTATTTCTTTTTGGTCCGTTCAGGTTCGCCGAGCTCTTAGATCTGCGGTGTGAGCTGTTCAACTTGGGAAACGTCACACCGCAGCTGGATGCAGCTTACGGGTTGTTAGTCCTGCTCCCTGCTAATATTTCCATCTTGCTTTCCGCACCCTTGTGCTGTGCTCTCATGAGCACACCCACTCCCGAGGGATCAATCACTTGTACACCACGCCATTTTTTCGACGCAAGTCTTTCGAATAGCTTTCGTGATAAAATAAGGAAGAAACAGGGTGGGATGGGAGGTGGGAGGTAAGCTATGATAAGCTTACCCTTCGCCACGATGTCTCTGATGAGAGGGTCCGGGTACTGGTACTTGCGGTCCCCGCAGTAGCCCAGCATGTTCTTGAACTGCTTCTTGGCCTCCCCCTTGAGGCCCGACACATCGGTGAGGGACTTGTGGATAGGATCGGACGTCCACTCCAGGAAAGAGCTCGCCAGCTCCGCCTTCTTGGCCCTGAAAACCCCGAATAACCATGGTGGTGACGTTATTAGGCAAGTGTGCGCGGGGGGGGGGGTACTCATAGTCGTGCATGCCGTAGTCGTTAGACCATTGACCTCGCATCCCTACAAAGCCGGGACGGAGCACGCCGGGTTCTCACCGGACCAGGCTCTCGGGGGAGGGAGGGGGGGTGTACTCATGTTTTGCATGCCTCAGGTGTTAGCCCGTTGACCACGCGTACTCGAGAGTGGCGGGTGGGCGACAAGCACGGCACGTGTCGAGTGAAACCGAAACTACCACCTCAGCACGATGACTTAGTGTGCTGCTGTGGCACCCAAGCAACGTGGCAAAGAGAGGCATTGGGCAGCCTGGGCACTTCCTTCGCCCTGCTACCGCTTTGGGAAACGGGGGCGCAGCAGCCGACGCTTCGCGGGAAACCGAGCGAGCGCGAAGTTCGCCCTTGCACCAAGAGGGACACAGAAGCGCGTGCCAGGCCCATCATCGTTCTCTAGTTTCCGGTCCGAAACAAGCACGCCAAGTTTACTCTCGTGGAGGAAAAGAACACCAACCACAAATGTTGTGCCGCTAGGGAGAGACAACAATGCGGGGGAGGGGGGTGCAACCAAGAAATACTCCTCCGTCATGGAACAGGGGGCTTGAAATTTCACGAACACAAAGAAGTTAGGATAAAAAAACACAGCTCAAAGGCGCTGCATCCTACACGTCAACTTCGTCTTGTTAACCTATGCTCGACGGTGGCGCCGAAGCAAGAGAAAGAAAGCCTGGACCCACTCCGACATTCACATTTCTCTGGACACCCGGCCCGAATGGCCGGACCTGTGCTTGCTGTAAAAATGAAATAGTCTTCTCACTTCCCCGTGAAGCTCTTCATGGCGGCCCACTCTTCCGGCGCTCTCAGCACGGGGAGCTTGGACAGCGCGAAGTTCTGGCCGTTCGCGTCGAGGTAGAGCTCCTTCAGCTTGATCTCTCGGTTGATCACCCGCTCCGGGTCGTTCAGCTCCTTCGCCACTTCAACCTGAGTAGGGGGGGGGGGGGGCGACGGCGATAACGTGAACAACAAGGAGTTGGTTGTGCGACACAAACACACAAGACACACACACAGGCGGTCGATGCCCACTTAAGAAACAAAAGTTGGTTGCCCGACACACGCACACACAAAGCGGTCGATGCTAACTCAACAAGCGCACACAAAAGCGTTTGGCAACACACACTAAAGTGTCTGGCTTGGGTGGTTAGCTGCACACTACAACTACATGTACAGGGCGACACGCGAACAAACAACAACTTGGTTTGTGCAACACATGTTTGCGGTGGGTTCGCGTTTGCCTGCGGTGGCGTGGAAGTCGATTTTCGGCCAGGAAGATCGGTTGGGAGGGTTGTAAAGAGGTGACGGAGGGGCTCTGGGGATGGGATGGGGGGGAGAGCTTCCCTCATGCGAAGGCAACGCCAAGCCGGGATAATAGCAACACGCCGTGTTGGGTGGTGACGGCGAAACGTCAGTAGCAGCGTAGGCCTACATCAACACCCTACTCGCGCCCACCACCACACAACATCGTAGAAGCAACAACATCAACATCGGCAATAACAACAACAACAGCAACCACAACAACAGACGGCAAAAAGTAACAGCGCCATCAGCACGGGTAGCAGCACCAGACAACAAAGATCCACCGACATCACCCACCATCTCTGTGCCGAGGCATCACCCATCCAATACACAAACACAACACACAACACACAACACACAACACACCTGTCGTTTGACGAACTCTTCCTCCGGCAAGCTGAGCACCTTACGGATCTCCTCGATGTCCGTCGACACGTACTCCACCTGTCGTAGATCAGACACGCACAGCAAGCAGTGCACGTGAAGAAAACAAGTTAGACACGTACAATAGTCTATGCATAGTATACATGGAAAAATAACAGCTGCACACATGTAGAGACAAAAAACTATAAACTCAAGTTTACAAACTTATTTTGACGAAGGCGCGGGAAATTGGATTTTTATTGTGGGAAAAAAACGTGCAGCTGTCTGGAACTTAAACTCGGGCAGAGTTGATGACGCTTACAAGCGCAGAGAATTCGACGGTAGAGTAAACCCTTCTCAGGTATGGAAGTCCGTGGTTCTACCATTTCCGGTATCGGGATGTACACACAACGCAGCTGCCTCCACGAAACTGTTGCTTGCCCTACCCTATGTTCATGCACGCGTACTTTGGCAAAGACCTCGTACAACAACGAGCGGGAAACAGCAGCAACAGCGAGCAAGGGCTACTCCGTTTTTTCCTCGAGCTATGTACAACCGTACCCTTTTCGCGTGCTCGTTCGTGCAGCGAGAGGGTGCAACAACGCGACACAGCGCAGCAAAGCGCCAACTTTGTTTTTTTTCCATTGCATCCTTCTCGCTACCTAAGGGCATCCCATTTTCCGTGTCGCATGCTTTCAACAAGCGGATACAACACAGCAGCAACAGCGCAGCAAGCGCCACCTCCTTCTGGTGCCTCTGCACCCTTCAGGCGCACCTGCAACCACATCCCCTTTTTCGCGTGCCGAACCAAACAACACAAACCCCTTCGACGACCCGCATTCTCTCCGTGCCCCTCCCGCAACACAACAACACAAGCGTTTACCGTAGGCTGCATAGTATATTACACCCCCCGGCAGTGACGGCGCTCAAAATGGCGGCGTTGGAACCGTCTCGTCGAGAGCTTTCTCGAGAGCTTTCCGAAAACGTATCCTTTTATTCCAGCATCCGCTTCGTCGTGGAGTAGTGGAATCTTTGACTATCGTTCTGGGGGGTGCGGCACCTTGTGCAATCTACGTAAGCTCCATGCTCCTCGTCTTCACCGTACCTCAGCAGCGTCGTTGCTGACGTCCTCCATGAGTTTCTTCTCGAGGATTGCCAACGCCTCGGTGGCGATGGGGTCTAGCCTGGCCGCCGCAGCCTGCATAAGGTGAGCACGGGCCTGGGAAAAGACCACGGGCAATTTTTGAAAAGCCGGGGGGCAACGCGGTATCGTTGGGGGGTACCAGGTACTCATGTTTTGCATGCCTTCGTTGGTAGACCATTGACCACGCGTCCTCGAGAGTACGGGGAACGTTCCCACAGGACTGATCACCGATGGCTAATCGTTATCGGAATGGGGGGCGCGGGGGTCGGACACAGGAAAAGAGACGACCGCGAAATATTTTGGTTGGGGGAAGTAAATGTATCACAAAATCGACGTTCTTGGATGGTTGGAATTGATTCGAGTGTTGTTCGGGGATGATTTCTCTCTCGTTGCAGCCAAAGGACGGATGGTACAGATCGATCTGTGCAGGCATCGCGACAGAAACTCAAATACACTCGCATCGAACAACGCCCAAAGTACAAGCGGATTGATTATATTTTTTATCCTGTGATAGGTTCCAACTCTTGGTTTTGGCGAGAAGACACATGGATCGGCAACAGACAAGCAAAACAATACCCGCAAAAAAAAAAATGAAACATGTTCGAAGCCGGCCGGCCGCGACCAACACGTGCAAGGCAGATCATATCAAACAAAATACACCTGACGTACCTGGTTTTCCAAAGCCATTTGCTGGTGCGTGCCCGGAATATCTCTGATCTTGTTGCACCGCAGCACGGCCGCGCGCAGCGGCGCGTAGCACGACGTCGGATCTTGCGCCACGAGGGACTGGAGGAGGGACTCCAACTCCAGCCGCTCCTGAGGGCGTTCGTGATTTTTTTCACCGAACGACACACATGAAACAGGAAACCATCGAAATAACACAACCCCGAACGGCTAACACGGGTGGTTTGGGTCAGAGAGAGCACTAAGAGGTCGAGGAGGAGGAGGAGGAGGAGGAGGAGGAGTTTCGACGACAAAAAAAAAAGAGGGTACGGTGCAGATACTGCACACATTGTCAGCATCCAGCACCCAAAAAGCAGACGCTAAGCGCCTGAAACCGCAGCACCTCGCCAACCGCACACAGCGGGAAACGCCGCTCCTGAGTTACGATACAGACTATCCCAACAGCAGCAAGAAAACATCGTCACCAGCGGCACCTTGAAACAGCAGCCCCGCAACAGCCTAACAATTGCTTGTCGACGACAAACTCCATAGAAAGTGAATGGATATTGCAATCAACCACGGGTGTCTTTGCTGCCAGGCGACACCCCGCCACAACAGAGCCTGCTGGCTGGATGTGCAAATCATCTGCAGCGATAATCCACCACGATCGAGTCTAATGTGACTGTACCCGCAGGTGTCCTTGCAGCCAGGCGACAACAATCCATCACAACCAATCGAGCCTAGCCTACCTGCAGCGCGAAGCGGAGGTCTCGGCACCTCCGCATCTCCGGAGGCTCCCACGCAAACACCGCCCGAACGTTGGCCGTCGCCTGCTCCGCCCTCGCGATGGCGGCGTCTAATCCCGCCGCATCTCCCGCGCTGAAAACAAAACCGGGGCAATAGAGAGAGAGAGAGAGAGATTGATCGCTGTCAAAGGTGGGGGATTGTTCACGTACGTACATTTTTTTTCTCGGACTGCGAGGCGCATGAATCGAAGCATGCAGGTTAGGACAGCAGGTAGCTCGGTTCTATAATGGTATTTTTTGCGCCGTCGATGCCGACACCGGTTCTTCCTTTTGCAGAAACGCCAACGAACGCTTGTATCTCTGTCTGTGGGTACAGCAGGTGCGGCTTTTCCAAGCCAGTGCTAAATCTACATAGCTTTCCCCGAGATGCACAGTCCGCCGCTGGAGGAAGGGTGGCGCGTAATAAACAACAAACCAACCATTGTTGAGGAGAATTACCTTCGTCACATGTGACCCAAGCCGTTGCGTAAAAAAACTATACACAACGTAGGCGCGCCAGAACAGATGGGACGAACACGCGCACAGAGACAGAATCTCTCTGGCTCACCAGGTGCGTAGCGCCTGCGCGCAGATGGCCCTCGCGTTCGCCATGCACCGTCGGAAGGTGCGGCCGATTCGGATCCGAGCCATCCTGCATAGTGCGCAAAAAACAAACACACAAGGGAGCGCCAAACTTCATCGAAACGCCAGCAAAAATACGGCGAAACAGTAAAAGGGGTTTCGATTATCATGGTCACGACGATTTGTTCCACTCGGATCCGCGCCGTCCTTTAGTGCGAAAAAAAAAACAGAGAACGGAAGTTCATCCAGTCAGCAAAACCTCGCGGGGAAAGCTCCGCACAACAATCGATTGCACCACAATGCAGGCCTGCAGGTCTACCCGACCTCAAAAGCCCGTAGTGCGGGAAGCGCAGTGCCATCAACGACACGAGGTGGGAGTGATTCGTTTCTTCGCACAACGCTGAGGAGGGGGAGGGAGAATGAGGGGCAGGTGTTGGGCGCTCTACTGCCCCTTTCAATCGGCGCGATAGTAGAGCATGGTAGATCATCGAAGACTATCGTAGATCATGGTAGCATGGTAGGCCAGGTAGATCATTGTAGATTATCGTAGATCATGGTAGGTCATCGTAGATCATCGTAGGCCATCGAAGATGATTCTGATCTGCAGGGAGTGGGGGACGACACTTTTTGCCACCACCCCCCAACCTCAGTCCTCACCTTTGGGCCACGGGCAATACTCTCTCGAGACACAGGTTTCTGAGAAGTTCGAGGACGCGGTGCTCCTCCGCCCTGTAGAGGACCATCGTGTTGCCCAGCTGGACCCGAGAGAAATCCTGCGAGAATAAGAGGGGGAAAACATTTGGGGTGAGGGAGAGACACACACAGACACGAGACATGGAGTAACAGATTAGCCAGAAAGAGGGAGTGAGAGAGACATACAAACCGAGACATGAAGGCAAGGAAAAGAAGAGAAAAAGAGGGACAGATAGACACAGAGAAAAAGACAGACAGACAGGCGCAGAGAGAGAGAGAGGCACACAATTACACATCCAAAGAGAGGAGAACGCCAGGCGAAGAAGGATAAAACAGATGAGGACCCCAACAGGCCTGTCCTTTTCAAACAAGCGAGGAGGGCACCCTCACCGTTCTGGCAGAAACACAGCAGTGTTCAACATTAAGCTCGAGCGGAACACAAATGAAACTATTATATACTTCCTCTGTATCATAAGTTAGGGTACCTAAATTTGTACGGGCCCTTAACCGTGTCCGATCTGTTTTTCGATTTTTTTGTTGAAATCTTCGGAGTTTTTTTAGCAAGAAACATTTATTTTTATTTTTATGCATGCGCCACCCCGCGTGCATGAGCGCCCGAGAAAAAACCAGTCGGCCTGAAAAAGGCCGTATTTTGCATGTATTCTGCCCCCTCCGACCAGGCGGGGGGGGCGGGGCAATGACAAAAACAAGGCAAAAATACCAAGAATTATCCCTGACCCTAAACCTAGCCCCCCCTCTGCTCAACGATCCATGACGCGTCTCCTATACTAAAAACAGCATAATAGTTGCCACTACACTGAAAACAAGACACTTTGGGGGAACACACTAAACCCAAGACACTTGCGGGGCAAAGCAAGCAACAGTAGGGCCCTCATCCAACCCCCCCCTCTACTCAACGATCCATGTCGCGCCCCCTATACTAAAAGCAGTATAGTAGTGAACCACACTAAAACCAAGACACTTGGGGGGCACAATAAAATCAAGACACTTGCGGGACAAAAAGCAGGGTTGGTTGGTGGAGGGGAAAAAAAAGAAAAACTCGACAATTTCTACCGCCATGGCATAGCGCCTACCAACCGATAATTCGGTGCCCCTTTTGCGAGGTGGTGTGCTGGGGGGCGATTCCATCGCTAGAGTGAGAAGTGGGCCGGTAGGGTACTAATATTAGATGGTTTTGAGAATTTTGTCTAGAATTATCAAAAAAAATCCCAAAATATTTATCAAAAATATTCCCAAAACGGGCCAAAATAGGGTATATTTTGACCAATATTAGGTACAGAAATAGATGTTCGTTTTTTTTAATTTTTTTTCCATCGCTTCTTCTTTGTTACATCTTTCGTACAAACCCGACCATGCTACCATCACTAACACGGTTGCACCCAGACAATCTATTGCATTTAGGTACCCTAACTTATGATACAGAGGAAGTATATTGTAGCCCTCAGCAAAGCGCAACTGTGTATATATCATACGCCCCCCTCGCACGAGCCACCGAAAACACACACAAAACAACACATTCACCGGACGCTTGACTACAAAAGCGTGTTCGCGTTCTCCGCCCCGCTGTTGTAAGACTGGCGTTTAATTGGTAAGTCGGATCGCGCGGTCCGTACTTAGAAGCAACACTCACACAACGCGCACAGCCTTGGTTTCGTAGCGCACGGGTGCACGAGAGAGAGCTTTGGCCATCCAGCAAAGTAACAAACCAAGACACGATCAACACCAGGGAAGGGTTAGTTCGAGAAAACAACAACAAATCCACCACAAAAACAAATAAACTAAGGGACGACGATTTCGCCTGGTCTTGATGCCACGTGGAGAAGTTTCAGTGTGATCCTTGCAGCAAAAGCATGGTACCAAAGACGCAACAACAACGACGACAGCGACACCACAACACCAACACCAACACCAACACCAACAGCAACAGCAACAACAACAAGAACAAGAACAAGAACAAGAACAAGAACAAGAACAAGAACAAGAACAACAGCAACAACAACAACAACAACAACAACAACAACAACAACAACAACAACAACAAGAACAAGAACAAGGACAAGAACAACAAGAACAACAAGAACAACAAGAACAACAAGAACAACAAGAACAACAACAAGAACAACAACAAGAACAACAACAACAACAAGAACAAGAACAATAACAACAACAACAACAACAACAACAACAACAACAACAACAACAACAACAACAGCATCACTAACATCAGCAACAGCAACAACAGCATCACCAACGACGACGAACCTGGTTCACGCAGCGCAACAGCGCGGAGCACATGCCCTTGTAGTCCCGCTCCCGCGTCCCCAGCGAAACCCAGCCCGTCTCCTTGTACGCCAAGCAGCGGTAACGGTTCGCGAAACGCTGGTGGGGCAGCCGAAACGGAAACCCCGACTTGCGGATCTGCACCGCCTCGAACACTCCTGCGTAGGTCAGCTGCTCGATGCACATCCTGGGTTTTCGCCGTATGGTGATAGGTAAGTAGGTATGTTTTCAAAAACTTTGTGGGGAGGAACAAGGGGAGACCGGGGAGGGGGGGGGGGGGCAATTGTTTCCCACCT